ATAACAAGAATCTAATAACACAAGTTCACACGCCAACACAAAAAACTCCAACACGAGCATACATAGAAGTATGTGATATCGTACCACTAGACTATGTAAGTAGAATTTTGTATAACTTTCTATTATAATGAACAACAAAGCTTAATAACTAGTATCAAGCTCATTATTTGAGTTCATACCTATACTAATAATTTCAATGTGTAATTTGGTTCAACTGCTTTCATCTCAAATTCAAGTTACAATAAATATGACTACATTATACAATTTTCATTTAAGATCCAATTAAAAAATTCTAAAAAATAATAATTTAATATTACTACCATTTCACTAAAAAATTATAGAATATATGTTTCAAATCAATAAAAATAGAAGTTTATCCAAAATTCATTATATACAAAAAATATTGAAAAAAATCTAAACTCTAATAAAATTCATATTATCATAATAATTTGTATCATAATGATTATAAATTTTTTTTAAGTATATAGACTCATATCAACAACTTAAAGTTTTATTTCTTGAAACTATTATGAACACAATATAAAGTAGTTACCATGATGAACAAATTTGCACACCTTAATTCTTCATTCACAAACTTTGAAGTCGAGTTTTATGTGTAATCTAAATTCATTGTAATAAATGATACTTTATTCTTCATATCCAATAGATTTATCATTGTGTTATATCAATTTCATTAAAAATACAGTTGCATCATATCACAAAAACTTATAAAATGAAAGTGAATGATTGGATGAATTGAGATTAATGTTTGGAAATATTGCTCAAAGTTAAGCACATATTATGTCAAACACATGAAAAAAAAACAATTCTATTTGCGTTTTAAATAAATATAAATTTGTGGTTGAATTTCACACAACAAATGTTTAAATTGATTTTGAGTGATATTGAGTGACTTTATTCAAGTATGACATAGATATTGAATATTTTTTGAAATTTTTTCTTTGATTTAATTTAAATTTTGCTTAAAAAGTATCAACATCAAAATAAAATAGAGTGATTTTTATTAAAATTTTTTTCCAATAAATATTATTCCACTGGTGAGATTGGATGATGGAAAATTTTTATTGTGCAAATATGATTTGATACATCAGATGGTAATCATGATCACACAGCTGCATAATTTTTAGCTAACCGACTAGCCGATAAAAATGGCTAGCCAACTAAAGCTTCAAATTTGGCTAATTGAATTTAGTAACAAGTCCGCGATGACGTTTGCAAATTTACAAAAAGTTGGCTATGAAATTTGTGGCTATGGAATAATGATGTGTGTTGGTGTTGGTGTTGATGTAAGATACAAAATTTAATAACGGTGATATTGTCATTGTACCCTCAACGTCATTGTTAATGCTAGTCTTGATCACAGAACAACGCATGAAAAAACATAAGCAAACATCTTGGATTCATTCATATTTTAAAGCTATACGAGGATTCGTTTGATTAGTTGCAAGCAAGTTGTGTTAAAAGATCTATTCAAGTATCTCGGCAAAATCAAACCTTTTTTTTTATTTGAACAACAATCTTCACATCATTCACTAATCATTTGAAGATGTATTGCCGCATGATTTATTACAAACTAACTTTTCAAAATCCGATTTGTATTTGAAAGTGTAGAAGTTATGGATGACGAAACAAAGATAAAGATCATGATAGATTGAATGATTAACACAAAGTAGAGCTTTTCGTCAGTAGAGACAACTTTGTTCAGGCGAATGACAAGTGCTCTAAATTGTTTCAGACTTGGCTATTTGCGCTTAATATTTTTTGTGTCATAGTTGACTTAATGATTGACACAAACAAACTGATTAGCAAAATTTTCAAATTGATTCAGAACAAAGTTGTGATCATTTGCAATGCATAATGTATTAGAACGTTGCAAAGTTATTTTGTCATTAGGCTTCACATTATATAGATGATTTTTATATCTTTCTATTAGCTACGCAATTGCATTTTTTATTTTAAATATTTCTCACCACCGCACGATAAGTGATGCACAATGTTATTTGTTTTGGAATTGTTAATAGTAGCAAATGTGCACATGAAGATTTTTGCTAAAACTATAGATAATGAAACTTGCATTACAACATCTACAAAATAAACAAAAAAACAAGTTTGATGTTAATCTAGACAATATATGACAACTTCGTCGTGTGTATATGTGTGTGCACATGATGTATTGTGAAGTAATTGATAGTGAAGCAATTATCAAACCCAAAGTGGAGAAACTTCGCGCAATGCTTAAGATAATTTGCTTATCATCTTTAGAACGAGCTTACTTTAAAAAATGTTATAGTTTTCTAGGATCGTGAAACAAAACAAGACCAAAGAAGTTTTTGGACTTAATGTTGAGATTCAATGGAATATCATGTTCATAATGATTGATTTGTCATACAATCTCATTGAAACTTTCCAATCTTTGTCAAACATGTTTAAGCAATACGATAAAATTGTAATATTAAGTTCCAATAAATGTACAATAGTAAAATCCTTCAAAAACTTTCTTACTTCCACCACAAGATGATAATCTTATATAACGAGCGATACACTACGTTATCTAATTTACTTTAAGTTTGATTGAAAGAAGTGTAGTGTAGTACTTCAAAGATTTTCTTGCTCTTGCTTATGAGATGGTCATCCTATCTAACGGATGATACATAGCTGTATTGAATTAATTTCAGGTTTATAAATCACTCAAGAAGCATTGCCATTGAATCATTAATGATACGTTGAGTATTAATTTCACCATGCTGGAGTAGAAATATGTCGTAAAAACGTTGATGAAAAAGTTGGAAAAGTATCGTTAGCACTTGACTAGTTTGTTACCAATGTTGACACTAGTTCTTGATCTTGCAGTTCAAAGATTGATGAAGAAATAAACCCTCTGATAACATAATTTCAAGAATGCATGTTGTCAGAGGTGTTCTGCGGGAAGCAATAAACATGCTTTGGATGTTAGTTTTATATGATAAAAAGTAAGCATGTTCATGTGTGTACTTGATATCATATTGCTACTATTTATGCATCGATATGATATTGAGTACACGCATTAACATGCTATCTTTTTATCATATAAAAATAACATAAAAAACATGCTTATTGCTACCTGTAGAACACGAACTTTGTTATTTGAATTGAACATCAAACAAGATGATGTTCCAAAAGACTCCATGGATTTTTTGCACTTTATCAATATAGACGATAAATCATGCAACAATGCAATTGTGTGGTGGGCAAAAATTGGCCGCAAATGCTTTTTGTTATTGACGCTTGTTGATGTGACATGTTAATGTGCATTGAATCTTCAATGACATCAGAATTTGGATTTTTGAATAAGAATGAAATTGCCATCACAGAGCACACTTGTTTGTGTGACAATCCCATTGAGACTAGAATGAAACTAAAATCATGGAAGTGACTGTTCAATGAAATTAATAAAAATTCCGTGAATCAATAAGGCAACAATTAGCCGACTGTATAACATGCTAGTTGGCTAACAAAAAACATTGCTCGCTTAGCCGTTAGCCAAGCCGTGAACATATTTATGTGATGAATAAAGTTTATTATCATTTTTATTATAATGATAACAAGTTCATTTTTTGTCATGTGTGTTGACAAAGATAAGTATTATATCACATACAATATGATATTTTTAATTTAGCTTGAAAGTATCAAAGATTTATGTGAAAAAGATGCAAAAAACAAGATTGTATCATTTTGGATGCAATTACAATCACAAAGATATTTGTCAAGTCAAGATCACAAAGATTATGATAAATTTTTAACAATAATTTGATAATTTTAACATGATCACATATTTATCCTCGCATATATGAATATAATATTGATAGCTTGTAACTAATATGAAGTTTTAAATGTGCTTCACATTTACTAAGAGTGTGATACATGAATTCATGGGCAAATTGCACTTTTTTTTAAATAATGATATCTTTCTTTTACAATGATACAACATTAGAGAGATATTGAGATGAAAAATATACTTGAATTTTTTTTGCAATATATAATACTACTATTTAAGAGAAGTTTGTTGAAGAGGATTTGATTGAGAGTAAGATCAAATCATATGATACTTTTAATATGACTTGATCACAAAAGTAAAATCTTGAGGTAAGGCGGGGCTTACAACAAGGCTTAATGAGTCTTTTTTTTTTGGTTTGGTTGATGACTAATGTTACTAAAACACTATCTCCTTTTTAGTACTTTGAATTCCATCAAATAGAAAATTTGATGTATTGAAGATATTTAAGAATAAGATAGAAGAATCATTGTAAATTGAAATTTTGATTTTTTCATGGTCATCATAACAACTACTTGGTTACTAAAAATCTTCTAAATGAATTAGTGCTAACTTAGTTACATTGACATGCATATGTGTATTGGCAAAATGGAACAGTGGAAAAGTTTCATTGTGAATTGATAGGAGTACTGGTGATTTGAGAGGCATGTGCTAACTTAGGTACATTGACATGCATATGTGTATTGGCATAATGGAACTATTGACAGTGGAAAAGTTTCATTGTGAATTGATAGGAATACTGTGTTGATTTATTCCTCTTCGTTTTCCAACATCTTTCTTCAATCTCTTTAATTCTCATAGTATGAGAATGAAACTTGGTGTGTGATTCAATCACACACCAAGTTTAAGCGCCCAATCTACTATGCGCGAAGACATCTAAATTGAGCTTCACATCCTTTTTCATGGATTCGTCCGTACTCTTTTTTTATCTACTCGGTTATTGTGGTACAAATTTCTCGCAACTCCCATTCACGTTTCTCTTTGGTTGGAATGTGACTTTTTTTACTTTTTTTTTTCTCATATAAATAAATTATTGAACCAGCAGAACAAACCGGGTCAATGTGCAGGCCACCCGGGAAATTTGATTTCCCCTGTCTGGAAGCACAATAATGTTTCAGCATGTTTTAAAGTATGGGATGGACTGTCTTTTTTAGGAGAAGATTAGGGCGTGTATTTACAGGGTACTCTTCGATGTGTCCAGCCGTTTCTGGAACTGTGAATGAAGTCCATCCGCGCCGTGGCATGATGATGCATCAGAAGTCAATCTCGAAGCTCTACGTTTATTCGGTGTTGCTGTTTTCAACCTCGCAAGACAGAATGGACCCTACGGCCATCGAACCACAATTATTTGCGTGAGGCTAGTGGCAGCAATTCACAATCCCCACTGATGTGCTGGTTAACACCATATCTGCCGTCGAGCTTTAGGATTACTGATGAACATCTGGTCGTAATAGGTGTTTCTGTTATCCCCGATCGGTGAATTCTACCAACAAGGTTTTAGGCGCAAGTGAAAGGGAATCCTTGAGCATTGTAGCTGGAAACGATTCCTATTTGCACAGCAGAATGACCTTCATTGTATCTTACGTTAGTATATGGCTCTATGTAAATTTCGCACGGATTTTTGTAGTTGCTGACTTACTTCGTCTGATGAAATTATGTCTACACTGCATTGTAAAGTCATATTGTTGTACCAAATCTTGTTCTGCCCTGAATGCTTCTCCAACATCATGACACGCTGCTTACGCATCGCGTGTGTTGGTGGGCTGGATTTTTTCCGCATTCACTACTGGGAAAGCTTGTACGAAGGTTTTTGTTTGAGAACTTGAAAGAAAAGGAATTCATTTGCTGGAATCTTGGACTTGTCAACTTGCTGATTATGTTGCTTCCCTGTTTCATATGCCAGGAATTGGCGCTTGGTTTATAGAGAGGCAGGAGAGCGTGCAGCAGAATGCCGTGTCTGAGATACTTATTGCCATGACGAGCAAGGAACTCAATATCCGCCGTAGAATCTCCAACATGTGAGTTTCATAAGTTTCACTTTCTTTCTCACCTTTCAAGGGGATGTGCTTGGTTGGTGACTCGAGCCGCTCTTGGGTTGCTTGTATCGTTGTCAGCGTGGAGGCAGTATGTCATATCACCAATAGTCAAATACACGGTCTATTGGCTTTGCTATGGTTATGGAGAGGTTGATTGTATATTGGAAATCCTGCTCATTCCTCTTAGAGACTCGAGGACATTACGGGAGCACCACTGGTTCTTGAATATACTGCTTAACGTCGTCCGGGCCGCTGAGGGATCAAAGACACAAAAGTGATATTTATAGTGAATGACACAAAGAAGTGCGAAGCAATTATCGCCACTCTCGAAGGTTTATGTCTGAAGAGGCTTCAAACGTGACCTTAAGTCCCCTAAACTAAAGAGTTTGGCCTCTCTTGTTTAGGCGAAGATGGCAGTAACCCTGGACGCCGAGAATGCTGCTTAGCATCTGCTGGAAGCCGACGTGCGGAACTGATGAAACTAGCTGTTAGTGACGATGATGAGGCTTAGACCTTGCTGTATTGCGGGGTAATGTCAAGGTCTGTTGCATTGCCAATATTCAACTTTCGAGGCTTTATACCAGGCTGTTCACTTATTGACAGTACTTACTTGAAATACGAAATCTTGAAAACAAGATCAAGAGGTTGATGATCTTGATCTTGAAAACCTTTTATCTTATTGACAGTACCTACTTAAATCAACATCACTGGCAGAGTGAATTAAATATTGAGGGCTGTATCAAGTAATGATAAAGAGACTTGAGAACTGGAGAAGTTGCTGAATCAGTGGGCACCTCTATTTATCTGCTGTTGGATGTGTGGGTTGTCGCCCTATGATCTCCTTCCTTCAGTAGCACGACTGCACAGGCCAAGACTCGATAAGCTTATTTGACTTGACGTGGAATCAGTGGGCACTGTAGTGAGGGAGCTGGTTGACGTGATGAGAATAGTGTGACAGTAGTCTTCATGAGTATGACATTAGTCTTCTTACCGACTGCAGGGAGACCGAAAGGCTTTTATCTGAAACATAGTGAAACTGGACTGTTCGATATTCACTCATGACTTACAAAAACTGGGTCAAGCCAACTATAACAGTATTTCACATTACTGTTGGCTATTTTTTAAGTGAGCTACTGCAGATATTTACCTGTTCCACACCACAATATGTGTATTTGATTTAGCGATATCTTGGTCTTTATAATACTGTAGTTTTAAAACTGTGCAAACATTAGGTTTGTAAGATGAATGGCCGAACACAACAAATCAAATTCAATTGGTATTCCCGTCGACATCAATGGAATGGGTTAATCGTTCTATGTGCGTCGATGAAACCCTAGGAAAGTAGTCTATCTTGGGTCTAAATGACGTTCATGCTCGAACTTTTTGACTTCTTTTCATCTTTAATAACATACTTGAAGTATCTCAGACTGCTCGAGTGGCTTAGCTTCGGATGCTGCAAGTCTCAAGCATATGCTACATTCATATATATTAAGTATATCTTCCCGTGGTGTTTGCTCCCCTTAAGGTCATATTTCTGTTCTGCTCTTTTGCTGTCCAACTTGGGAGTCTGCTCTGGGTACGTTCCTTATTGTTTCGGGTATCTTGGTTGACGGATATATCATCAGGAATATCTTTCGTCGGATATTGCTGCTGTGTTTGTGGAACACAACAGTAATTCCAGTAGTTGTCAGTTGACCTTTCGGGGATTCTTAAGATGCTTGGCTTTGTTATCAGCTGACATGTGTTTGCAAATTTTTATGCTTGTACTTATTCATGTACAATTTAATCCTCACATAGAGCTGATCTCCCTACATTTCTTCTTCAGCATATTTGTCAACGGTCATGTGAGTGATATTCTTCCGTCTCGTTGTGTTGCCCTTCCTTCCTACATATTCTTCGTCATCTGTCGTTAGCAACATACAACTAGGTCGCGTGGTCTACAGTCTTTTAGCTTGATCTCCTTAAAAAAGAAAAACCCCAAACCCTGAAGTATCGCCTCTTAGTAAAGCCAAACCATTACACAGACCCTAAACCCTAATACCCTAATACTCGGGTATGTGACCTTTTACTGACTCTATTCACGATTTTAAGGTGATGGTCCGTGGAGGACTTTCATTCTGAATGGATACTCTATACTACACACTCAGCTACCACTACTGTCAATTCGAACTTTTCCACCACTGTACTTCTTGTCCCCTCTTCATACTCATGAAACGGCTTGTCTGTCCTTCTCTTTCAGAGCTTCAGTCCATCAATGACATGCCGGACGTGCATTATCGTCTTCTTGTTTCTTGCCATCTAGTATATTTCGTCGACACCCTTTCAGACACAACACCTAGATTTGCCTTGCTTCGGTCTTTTACATGCTAAGACCGTGCGGCTTATCGTGTACTAGTTTATCTGTTCTTGACTTCTTGATCAAATTTTTCCATGCAGTGAACTCTTTTCAGCGTGCTAATAGAAGGTGCATGAGAGAATACCTGTTTCGATATTAACGTGTCCGATGTCATCAGATTATCATCAGACCTCATCCTAGACCTCGTGACCTCAATTTCTGTTCCGAAAGATTCAAGATGTTTGAAAGGTGGTGAACAGTAATCCGAAAACGGAGCCGAAGGAAATGAAGTTCACTAGGAAATGTGGAAACAGTTTTATTCAAGAGTTTTTGTGGAAATGACCTACATACTTGGAGTATTACACCCAAGAAGTGACGCCCATTCACAATTATTTCGTGATACAGTCATGGAGAAGGTCACCTCCAGAGTACTCCCGTACTGGAAGCCTATATTCTTCCCAACCTTTCAATATGGTAGTCTGCAGTTAAAATCATTCACAACCCTTCTCTTCCTGCAACCTATTCTAGTACGCCAGAATCGCTTAATGTACCTCAGCCTCGCAGAAGAGAAGGATGTGTTCCTTGTTTGAGCAGTCTCATGTTCCTCTTATTTATGCGTTGCATCAATAGATCTTGTTAAACATGTACCTTGAGAATAATCGTATCAAACACGGATTTAAGAAATAACGATGTCTTAATTATGTAAACGCTGCTTTAACTCAGTCGAGTGTAGTGTCTATAAATTTCTTCAGGAAGATGAAAGTAGCATCGTACGGAGTTGATTATATGTGATCCATTTTCCCAGCCCATATATGGTTTCCTTGCTCTCTCGAAAATCCCCACATTTGTGAGCTCCGTCCCTTCGGGGACATCCGATCAAATTGGAAAGATACAGAGAAGATTAGCATGGCCCCTGCGCAAGGATGACACGCACAAATCGAGAAATGGTCCATTTATGAAGGGGGCAAAGGCCTCCCTCTCGCAAGTTTATTCCTTAATACTTTCTTTGCGGGTCATTTACTCTGTATACTGCTCACCCTTCGAGACACATCCTTGCCACGTTAAATTATGGGTTGGAATTCAAACTTTAGTTGGGAATAACTTGGTTTTATTCCCTTCGTATAACTATCCAAATATTTAAGAATGTAAATGGGCCTCATCGCGCCAGAGGTTTTTTGGGTAAGGCTTTTATCGTTGTTTTCCTTGGTCTATCAGGACATTTGTTGCCCTTTCGCCATAGTTTCATTTTGAGTTTTGAGTTACGCGGATCTATTTTTAGTCAGAGGACACATAATTGCAGATTTTTCCCACTCTGTAATAGTCATTTAAGGGATGGATCTTCATCTTCCAATGGGAATGGAGAATTACCTCCAGCTGAAGTAAAACTCAGGTGAAGATTTAATGGGAAGTAGGACCTGTTTCGCCAATATGTTTTAAATCTTTTGGTTTCACTATTTACCCCACTCCATACAATGGAAGCTATTCATGAGATTTTATCCTACACTTCAAGGGACCAGTGGGATCCAAATCAAGGATCCTGGCTGTCTACTTACCGATGATTGCTTGTCCATAAGTGAAGTACTCGACCCCCAATCTATTCTTTAGAGTTGTGTTCCACATTCTCATCTGGAATTGTCTTTTGGAGTGCACAAAATGGAAAGTCGTAGAATGTCCCATCATCGGAGACTCCCGTCAACCCCGCGAGGGATGGAAAGGTGGGTGTGAAAGCTAAACTTGCTTTTTTTTTTTCTCTTTAGGAGAAGTGATTTGTGGGACACCCAGAATCTATGAACTGCACCCCAAAATACTTTTAACAAACTGAACATGTGGTCATGAAACTACTCCACGAACGATTTGTAAATGATATATCGTGGCTGAAGTGAAAATAGCGATCGCAGGATACTTTCTTTACCAGTATTTTCAATGATACGGACCTAAAGCTTTTCCATCGTGATTTTTTTGTAGATACAATAAAGGAGAAGACGATTTTCCAACTCTCCGGGAGTACAATGACTATCTGGAAGAGACAGAAGATATCGGTACGTCTTAAGAGGCTTTAACGTCCTGTCCGTTTTATATTGTTTTGATGGTCTTTAACAGTGTGTGAAATATCAGGAGTTCCTTCATTCTTTTTAGTCATTCGCTCGTTGTTCGACGCTGGTGGGGGTTTTGGGAGCTTCGTGGGCTCCACGAACTTCATATACTTTTGATATATACGCCTAGTTTACAAAAGTCATTTCAAATTCCAATTTCAAGGCAATCGTCAATGAGTCTCAGTAGTCGTGTTTGTTCGAGTGTTATTGATTGCAGTGTTCAACCTAGTAGAAGGGATTGACGTCCAGGGAACAGAAGCTAGGATTGCCCTTTATCAGGAGGAGCATGCTGAGCAGATAATTGCATCGCGCGCAAAGAAGGTATTTTACTTCATTACAAAACACACTTAACACCGTCTAGCACAAATCAAATGACTAGTAATAAATTTGTGTTGAATGGAAGTTTTTGTTGAACAATTGATGCCACTTCATGAACCTAGACTATGATATCCTAAAAATCATGCATCCTTAACTGCAAAATTTTAGCCTTACAGAGACTTACATTTTTAGCTTGTTATGTATCACTATAGGCCGAAAGAATATCAGCATCTTTCAGGGCGGCTAATGCGAAGAGGAATCAAGATAAAGAAGCAGATTTGGAACAGGTACTACTCCCACTTATAGACTTTTTATCGTTTATGTGATTAGCCGTATGTCTTTCACTCTGTATCGAACCTCTCCCCAAATCAACTTGTTTAATGTTCCTTGATGAAGGTGAAGGAAGCACCTGGAAGTACCGGAATTCAAGCTGGTGCGGCAGGACAATATGCTCCTTCTATGGTAGCTGGAAGTATGTTCATGCAACCGCGGCCAATGGGACCTGGTGGGCAGCCTATGCCTCTGGGAACCTCAACCTACAATGGGGAAGGCATCGAGGACCCAGCTGCTCAAAAGATCCGTGAAGAAAGGGGCGCCCGAGCTGGAGGATGGACTCCAGAGCTTGGGCGGAAGCGGGCATTTGAAGAGGCTTTCTGCAGTGTTTGGGTAAATTAGTCCGAGTAAAATGTGAACTCAAAGAGACCAATCGATAAACAGTGGGTACATGTGGCCAGTTGGTGTTGCAAAACATCACTAGCTAACAGCAACATTTCTTCCTGCTAGCAGAAAGTGGTAAGATTTCATTTACATTTAGTTGTTAATCTCCTCTTTCTTCTCTCATGTTATTCCTCCTTATTTTTTTCCTATCCGTGCTGTTTCTTCTTCTATGTTCTTTGCTTACTCTTTGTCCTTCATTGGAGTCTAGAATCTGATTAACAGTAAGGAAGAGGAAGAAATATGAACAGCTCTTTACTAAACATTTTCCTTCCTTTCCTTTGCCCGCCCGGAAAGTACTCAACCAGTTCATCAGTGACGGACATTTGATATGATTGAGTTCTTGAAGCTCACATGCGCGGTCGTCACTGTTCTTTATATTGCACGCTTTCTTACTCTTTCATTTTTTTTTATCCGTTTTCAGGTTACACAGACATGGTCGTGGAAGAACTCATTTCTGAATATTTTAAGAGTTTCTCCTGAGTACGCCAACGAGAAATCACAATTTATGAGAGTTTGGAGCAGAGCCGACGAACAAGTTACTTGCTGCTGCTGAAACCTTGAGCCAGGGAGGAGATGCATTTATTGTATGTTGAAGCCCCTGTAAAAAAATGAAAAACTGATGAGCTGCCGAGATATTATTAGACATAATTCTGTTTCGTATGAAGTAGCTTGGTTAATGCTATTTTGCCACATATTTGACGGACTCGTAACTCTAAGTAAACACCTTGCAGTTCGTGATGTAGTCCCCCTCTACCCGTTTCTGGAAGTCTGAGTACGGGGTTCGGTTTCTGTGGGACGTATATTTTCCAAGGTGATTGTATGTTCGATTTATTTGTCACGGTTAAGTACCACGTAGTATCTTTCATCAAGGATTATGATTTTATGTTGTTGATGATATTAATGTTTAACAGAACTTTATGCTAAGTATAGTTCTGCGGTATTTCATGTTTATCATACAGTTGAGTTGGATATGAGGATGCCTTTCCTATGGTTCGGACGGAAAGTGGACAGGAGTTGGAAATTCGACTAGCCACTCCTGTAGAAGTAACTAATGGAGAACCATCATCCGGACACCACGAAAAATCAAGGGTGTGAAGTTTTCAATAAGACAAGTTGCGTATACACCTTGAAGAAAAGTGGTCAGGATTTGAGAACACATTTGGTAAACTAATCACCTAAATGCACATCCTTTGATGCTCTGTGTGCGTTTCATCAAATGAAACTTTCAAATATCATAATGCCAATGAGTTGTGGATCAAACAGTGAAATATTGATATTAAGAAACTGCATGGAAAAAACCTTTATTCGCACCTGTACAGTATAAACTCGGTTAAGTCCGCACTTTGGTTTGTGCGGACTTGGTTATATCTCATCTTGTGACTTCAATCTTTCCGGGTATTTCTATGAGAACTATTGTCAAAAGTTCTTAATAACGAGAAAAGCCTCATTACAACATTCTAATGATTTTCCAGTTCTAGTGATACTTTGTGCCACCTTTCATTTCATCCCAAAATACTATCAACTCTGTGCTAAGAGGTCAACATTGACATTACTACTAGTCATTGTACTGCAATTGTTGTCGTGCTACTCGTTATCGCCATACATCGTTGATATGCTTTACTTACACATATATACAAGGAACGAGAATGTCCACACATAAAGTTATCACAATATGTTATTCAATTGTTAGTGTTCACACACAAAGTTATCACAACTTGTCATTCAATTGTTAGTGTTCACACACAAAGGTATCACAACTTGCTACTCAATTGTTAATGTTCACACACAAAAGTATCACAACTTGCTACTCAATTGTTAATGTTCACACACAAAAGTATCACAACTTGCTACTCAATTGTTAATGTTCACACACAAAGGTATCACAACTCGCTACTCAATTGCCAAGTAAAAGGATCATTAATTTCTGACTCAATTCTTATCACAATCAATTGTGCTGTTATTTCTCAACACAATCTAGAACGAACTCATGTTAATATAGTTATTAACTGAAACAATATATTTCAGATATTGGTAAGTCTGTATAGATTGATATGAGTGAAGCCTTATCAAGAATGAAACTGGGTTCGAGACGCATGGAATAGGAAGCAGGATGAAAACCAGTAGACTTAGATACAAGCAATTATTAAAAGATCCAACCTTAGGGCCAAAAAGGAGAGAGAGCTAATTTCTTGTGAGAAACCACCATGTTGACTCATACATGCAAACATTCGCTTCAAGTTATAAAAATATTTTAGCATCACCGTCATTAATCAAAAGTTTGACTTCTGCTGATAATAAAACTCTAGAATTTTGATACTTGAAATTTCGTCTGAAAAAAAGGGGACTTAGGTGGGATGCGGACTTAAGTGAATGTATAATGTACTAGATATATGGACTACTATAAACAACAGATTGTAAACTGTAAACGGTTCTAGTAAAGACATTAGCACACGATTATAATATACTTTAAGTCGGGATGTGAAATATACATAAAAGTATCCTCAAGAAAATCATGAAGGTACAGTAGACAAACTTGAATTAAAAGCATGAGTTCTTTTGTTTTGTATCATAAGTCTTTGTAAATTTTTTCTATATATCTTAAGATAATATTTGAAATGAAATATAAAAAAATACCTTTTTTATCGTATTTTCGTCATTTGGATACATTCGTACTCATCCAAATCTCTACAGGTATAGTATTTCTAGTGGTCGTTGTACATATTTGGTCTAAAAAAGAATGGTATTTGACCCCAATTATTGTTTATGGTGGTTGGTTTATGGAGTTTCATTATTGTCCAGGTTATGCCGTTTTTCTTATTTTTTATTTGCTTGGCCACTGCTTTGGCTAAATAACTCAGTTTTTGATGATGCGCAATGTTAGATTGTGATACTACTTTGTATGCTTTCTCTCATTTTTATAGGTAGTCATACACCTTATCAAAGTTTGTGTTATCTTATTTCATTTATCGTTGTAGAGGAGATTTGGGTTTCAAAATCTGTGCCCACAAACACATGCAGCACTTTATTTAAACCATAGGTAGATGCTTTGACCATTACAACACTAGAAGTGTTGTCCACGTGAGATGCATCCTGTGTGGTCTCTTCCTCCTAAGGCTCCAAAGGTCATTATCTTTATGGCAAGCTAGAAGAATTATGGACCACCAAATCAGATTAATGAATGACAATTCATGAGTTTCTTTCAAAATTGGAAAAATGTCACCTCAATATGGATAGTGTCACCTAATACAACCATATATTTGAGATTCTACCCATCATTGGTCAGTTGGATGACTTTTAGCTTGTCTTCTATTGGAGTAAAACAACTGAAAATAATTCTTATATTTGAATTACATTTTAAATGTTTTTCGAATATAGCATATCTGATGATAATAAATTACATTTGATTGAATCCAATTATTTTTTGAACTTTATATCATTTTGATATCTAAGTAATTATTATTTTTCAAAGGACATTGAGCTTACTTCAACTGGAATAATCTTATGGAATTGGGAAAAAAACATTTCATCAAATAGACTCTTATGTTTCACGGCCTATTTTTGAATGCCAAAAGTATATATGTCATGATGAAATCAAAAAATTGCACTTCTTCACATAAAACCTTGGCCTTTTATAAATCCTTGTGATTATTAATTTTAAAGATGACATTTTCCTCAAGCTGATTTGAAGTATAAGTTGAAAACTTTCATTTGATGATCATGTGTGTCTTACATACGAAGAAATTTAAAGTTTGCTATCATGGTAGTATATGTCTCACATTTGCATCATGATTTTAATCATCATTGAGTAGATCATACTTTTTATGTGGGTTTGCATTTTTTACTGAAGAATTTTTGCTTTTTTTTACACAACAAATTATGATCTTTCTATCCTCATGAATTAAAAATAGTTTGTAAAAATAATACTCAACAACTTAATTGAGTTTTTTTTAATCAATCAAATTTTCATCAGATAACCGCAAATCCTTAACAAATTCATTGTAAACATCATGTAGTTATGTATCTTTGTATTCCATCAACTTTTATCTCATCAATTTCAAAAACATGTTCAATTGTTTTGACAAGTTTAACTTATGATACTAGTGTTGGAGTTCATAAAAAACTAATACAGTCTTTTTTTTATTCAAAAGCTTGATTACATGAGCCTATACATTTAACACAATTATGTTTTCAACTCTTTTTTACATGTCACTTCATTTTTTCCATAAAAAAACCTAGTTTTCAAGCAAATTAGTTTCTGAAATTTTTTGTTTGAATATTTTTTTTCATAATCATAATTATAATTAAAATGTGCATCATACTCAGCAATATCAAACGTGACACCTAAATTGATTATCATATTGCTCTACATGATTGATTGTACAAATTTAAATCTAAAAATTAACATTTAACTTCAAATGTTGATTAATTTTTTTTGCCAAAAAGTCAATTAAAGTGCTTTATTATCTGAATGAAGAATTTTAAGATTTAAAAAATACTTCAAAATCAACATTAATTTCCTTTTGTGTTATTCTATACTTTCTTTTTTGATCAATTTTTTTAAAGAAAAAAATGAGTGAGTATACTAATATTTAAAAAAATTATAACTAGTTACTAAATTTTTCATCAAAATAATACGTTATAATTCCAGAATCTTCACAAAAATTGACTTGTTGCAAATTTTTTTGTATGTCATATATGTTACATATTCAAAATCAGGTCAAAATAAATCTTTAAAGCATTTGAATTTCAAAAAATAAAAAAAACTAATAAAAATTATTTCCAACAAATGTATTTTTAAAAAAAAATTATTTGAGGGGCTAGTTATTACTTATTTTGGGCTAATTATCCCTCACCAAACTATACTATATAGAGCTCTGTGATTGATCTAAGCTATACATATGTCTATTAGAGCCGTGTGATATAGTTTTTGCGGGCACAAGGAAAGTGGAGAATTAGTGCACATTAGCCTAGGGTGAGGTATAATTAGCCTAAAGTGAAGTTCAACTAGCACCTCCCTAAACTTTATGCTATCATGATATAACCAATCATATTTTAAAATATTTATATTAATCAATATGTTTTTCTCATTTATGTGCTAAAAACTATTAAACATAAATTCAAGATCTAAAAATTTTAAATTGACACATAATTTGATATAAAATAACAATAATTTTTTAACTAAAACAATGTTAAAAAAATAAGTAGATTTGATGTGTTAAAAAAAATACTTAAGATACAAAAATCTCTCCTTGTGCCATATCATCAATCACATAATGATCAATCTTCCCCGAACAACATCAATGACTGGAGATTTATCCTTATGAGTAAGGGAGCATGATGACTGTCATACTCTTTTAGAAATATAGATTCATTGAAAACAACATCCCTATTGACAATGATTGTGCATGCTATTGAATCCCATACTATTGTAATATGACGAGTGACTGTTCTAACCAAGCATGGTTATAATAGTCACTCGCCTAAATTAACTAAATACGATTAATTTAATCTACTCTATAAAATCAATTTAGGCTAATTTAGTCTTTTTCAGAGTAGACTAAACTAATTTAGTCTACTCAAAAAATTGATTTAGGTCAATTTAGTATACTAAAAAGTTTCCTTTAATCTCTCAAATTTTAATTTAGACTGATTGAATCTAGTAGATTTTTTTTCCTGAATAATTTTTCATTTAAATTTTTTTTATTGTTTTTTTAAAACTATTACATTAATTAAAAAAAACGCTAATTTTGCATAGGTGTCACCTTCTCATTGGTTGCAACATGTAGATTCTAAATCACATCCACCTCAATTTAGTCGCCTAATCACCAGAAAGTTAAGATAATCCAGACGACTTTATATACAATCACATAATACATCCATGCTTGCCTATAACACTTTACACCACTAGCAAATTCAATAAAATGACACCTCATGGATGTAGAATCTAACTTAATACTATGTTCATTGGGCATAAAAGTATGTGCGATACAAGCAAAAATTGTTAAACTATTATAATCAACAGTTTGTTTGTGAATCAATTCAAACAATGTCAAAAAATTGACTGCACTAAAAGAATAATTGTTTACCAAATATAATGCGATATTGACAGCTTCAATACAAAATTCATATGGTACACCATGTTGGCTCACCATCATACGCACCTTCTCCAACATTGTTTAATTTAGCCTCTTAGAAACAACATTTTGTTGCGGACTATAAAGCGTGATGAGATGACGAGTAATAGTCTCCTCTTTATAGTAACT